CCTTTTCTGTCAAGGCAACCCTTTGAAACAGTTATCCATGCTTTAATTTAATCTTGATTGGATTACTGTAGCAGACTCTATGTTGGTGTGTGCCAGTCTTTGCTGTCTTGTTTACAGCTGGTGCAAAGTGCAGCTGCTCCTCTTTTAACTGGAACTCCAAAATATGATCACATCACCCTGTCCTGGCCTCACTGCACCGGCTGCCTTTGCATTTTAGGGTTGATTTTAAAATTCAAGAGTTCAAATACCTTGAAGTACTTCTTAACTCTACACTTACATTTAACATTAAGAAAATATCTAAAACAATTAGACTCAGTCTTCATAACTTCAGATATATTAGTTTATCGGTGACGTTTCAGGCAGCTAGGATGTTTCTGCATGCTATGGTTTTCTTGCACATTGATTATTGTTTTACAACCTGATCTCTTACAAATGAAGCCACATTTAAACAAATAGAATCATTACATTAAAAAGCTTTAAGATTGTTGCTAAAAAACCTGTTTCCTACCACCATCGTTGCATTGTTGAGACAATCTCCTCAACTTTGACTATTTTAAATACCTTAAATTTGTTTGCATGGTTTATAAAGTAATCAATGGACTTGCACCACCGCCATTAAATAAGGGAATTCATAAAAATGAAATCCTCTTCTGGCAAAGCCACCCAGTCTATGGCAAGAGGAGACCGTGAAGTGCCCTTCAGACGGACCATCTTTGGCCAGATTGTTCTTTCTGTCAGGGGCAGTAACATCTGGAACAGCATCCCTCTCACTATCAGATAATACTCCAATTTTAACACATTCAGAACTCTGGAAAAACTGGTTAAAATTAAATCAACATTTTGCTCATTAGACCTTAAAGATCTCCTGGTGCGGGTCTCAGCCAATTGTCAGGATTGAATGTTACCTTGTAAATATCTATACAAATTTATGCTAATGTCTCTTTTTGAACAGTATGACCTGCCCTTGTAAGTAACCTATTTTTTTTTTACTTTTTCCAAGTTTGTTTTCTAATTTTGTTGTAATTGTTGTTGGCATAATACACCTTGCCCAGGGACAACAGTTGAAATCTAGCTTCATAGCTAATACTGACACATCTACAGATATGTTTATTAATGTGTACTGTCCCTGACAAAGAAACAAATAAATAAATAAATATTTGTTGTGACTTTGTTTATTTAGTTGAAAAAAATCCATATTATTTCATTATTCTATATTTTTATGCTGTACTTTATTCTTTTATTATGTTTTATGATTTTTAGCTATGTCCAGCTCTTGTTTTAATCTGTAGCTGTTTTGAAGCACTCTACAAATAAAGATGATGATGATGCAGATGATAAATCATTACCAATAGTTATAGCAAACGTTTTAAAGAAATATGTGACTAGAATTGGACACAGCAGGACCTAACCTCACAGCATGAAAATAATCCAAACTACACCCAGGACTAGCTAGGATAGAAACCCAGATCTAGATCTAGATTTAATTGAGATGCTGTGGGATCACTGGAGCATAGGATAAACCCCTCACTTATATCTAGTAGAAGCATCTCACTGGCATCTGCTCTTTTTGTTTTATATACATTTGTTCAACTCCTCTCTTAGGACTAAAAAAATGTCATAAAAATGAATATTTAATGGAGCATCCTATTTTTTCACCCCTGCAAATCCTTTCTATGTGACTTGTTATTTCTCTTCCTGTTTGCCTGTTGCCAAAGTAAAACATAGAACCAAAAAAGGTCAGAAAGAAGAACCTGATCCCTTTAAAATGGTTCAAATTAAACTGTGGATTAGTTAAACAAACAGGATACTGATGTCTGCAAGCAGATTTTTTCTGCCCTAACAGGGTCATATCTCTGTTCCCAGGATTCTTTGTGTCTGAGTTTAAGATTCTGTTTACCAACCCTTCTACGACCTTTGACCTGACCTGAAAGGTTAACCTTACTCAATCCACTTGATTTAACTGTCTGTCCGTAGGTCAGGGACAGAGTTGCTCTGAGTTTTACCCTCGTATTTTCAACGAACAAGTCCCGACATGATTGTGAAACTCCCTGCTCCAAAACACAAAAGATAATTGAACAGAATTTTTGTTTTGTTTATAATGTTAGACAATAGAAAACATCACATTTAAAGTATAAAAATGGAAACACGTTTTTGACATAACCACAAAGGTGAGAGGAAAGCAAATATTTGCAAAACTATACTGAAACTTTGTTTCCTGTTTGACTTCTTTGTGTCTCTATCTATCTATCTATCCCAACCGGACATCGCAGTATGTTCCGCATCTTTTCCTATTGTAACATACCTTTTTCAAAGGAATGAATAACCTCATCATTGATTTCCACTGACTCATCCTCATAAACCAGATGCATTAAAGTAGTGAAACTTGTAAATCCTGCAGGACAGTCTGCGTCAAGTAAAAAGAATTAGGAAACACTGAGATAGCGAAGGTGCTGCGTCTAATCTATATATCCTATCAAGGGAAATAGCTTGACAAAGAAAGTTTTACTTTCCTTTAACAGTAAAACTGTTAGTCTTATCTTTTTCTTAGATGTAGAAGCTGGTGGGTCCAACTTGAGGTTGGAGAACCGCTGCAGGTCACTCCTAAAATATTTTTTCTTTATTTCAAGAAGTAGAAACTGACTCACATATGAACTGCTTTAGAAATATGTGCCAAACCCCATACACAATATTTTGGATTTTACTATTTTTTTTATTTAATATAACTAATTCTACCATAGTAAAATATAAAAGCTCAGAAATAATACAATAATCTGATCTATTATAGTAACTAAACTTGCTCCAGTACAAGCAAAGTGCATGGGATACAACTCAACACCAGATGGCGCCCTATTATAGAAAAGGTGGAGCTGGTATGTTGTTCCTATAGGAAAGCAATGAATAGGGAAAAAATTATAGGTATTATTCAGTTTGTTAGTTGAATCAGTTTTCTTCAACCCCTCTGATTTCATCTGAAAACTAAGAAAGACATTAACTGCTTTTAAAGTCATTGAATAAACTCTTTATTTCTACCACTATAAATAAAAATAAAAAAGAAAAGAAAAAAAAGTCATTATTTACAAATCGAAGAAAAACTAAACAATGAAGAATCTTCCTAGTAGTGGCTGATCTACCATATCAGTTTTAAGAGCGCATTAACAAATCATCAGACGGTCACAAAAAAACAAAACAATAAGAGGAGTCAGTATCCAGATCCCCCTTTTTTTATTCTTTTATTTTTCTTATATCTTATCGTTTTATTTATCTAAACCATGTTGAATTGTTTATTTATTGAATTCTGCTATATAAGTTTATTTACCATGTATTTTATTGGGCCAATATATGTCCCTTCTGCTCTGGGAACATCATGGATTAATGGTTTGATGGATGCTATTTAAAATCTTTCCATTTAGCCATATCTCCTGTAAGGTAATACTTTGTTGTAGTCCTCAAGAAGATCTAAAGGAGGGATGTCCAAAGTGAAACACGTGGGCCAGTCGGCATCCTCAGAGTGAGATGCCAAAAATGTAATTAGATAACAAATATATAAAAACAGGGGCCTGCCAGCAGACTCCTAATACAGTTGGGTATTATTGCTGATGTGACGTCTGTTAAACCATGTGCAGAAAAATGTTTGCCTGCCTTGTTGTCCCAGTATAAAGGAAAATATATAAAAAGTGACTTTATATTCATTGCTTAATACAGAAAACTTGAATATTAAGTGCACTATATTCCATTGTTGCTCAAAATAAAATGAACGTTTTAACTTCAGATAACACGACCCAGGCTTCATTTCTGCTTTTAAACCCCCCCACACCCTTTACAAGATTAAAAACCTCTCTTTCGGCCCAGGAGGGCCACAGCAGGCTGGAATCAGATCTCCCTGAGGAGAGTTTAGTGGACACTTTCCCCTGAAGTTTAACAAGCCCATTACAGGACAGACGCCATGTCCTCTGATAATAATCTACTAAGCAAATAGCACGTTGCTTTAAACTGTTTGCCATTTGATGTGGAGCAGCTGTAACCATGATGCAACAAGACTCCACTACTTTAAAGTGTGAAGTAATGAAGCAAAAAGGCTGTTCACATTTCTGCAGCGCTCAGACATGGAGCGTGTATCAGGCGTCAAGGTTTGTCATGAATTTCCAAAGAATTCATTTCGCAGTTCAACAACCGTGCACTTGGATGCGTCACAGATGGAAAGGGGACTTGTTGGCAGCTGTGACTCACTTGCAGCGAGAAAAAACACCCAACTCCAGGAGACATTTTCTTCATCATGTCACACGCTCCAAGCCTCACACAGCTGCCAAACACACAAGGAAGAGCGGTGGAAAAAAAGATGGCACAGCTTCCCGCCTCCCAGCCGGGGGTTTGGCTCGTCTCCACTAGAATATTTGGCAGGAAGCTCCGACAGGGAGGGATCAAACGTTAACAAGCAGAGGCAAAGTATTTCTGTAAAGACTCCCCTACTTATTATGCTTCATATTTGGGCTACAGTTTCATACGTTTCAAATTTCACACTAATAGGTAAGACTATTCTTCCTTTTTTAAATGCAAACTGAATAGTAAGACATTCAGTCTCTCAATTAACTTTAGATCACTTAGGTTAAAATCTGATTATTTTAGCAAAAAAAAAAAAAAGCTGGATGAGTGGTTCTTTTGTTTTAGCCACAACAGTCGAGCATCAATTGCTCTCATTTTTTACTTTACTTTCAAACAGGAAAAATTTAGAGGAGCTGTACTCTGCTGCTTTCCTCTTTTACAGCTGACAACTCAGACTGCTGCCTTCTTATAAATGAGTAAAAACGGATCTAAACATTATTTGCTAAAAAAAAATATATATATAAAAACATTTTGTGGATGAGTCGGCATACTTCAATCAAAAGGTGTGATTTATGATCCACCAATCAGACAGGAGTCTCACTTTACTCCCCCTCACCTTATCCCAAAGCAAAGCACAGCCCTGCAGCACCATTATTTTAATGAAGACGGCGAAGACGCTGTGAGGTTTTAACAGCAGTTTATTGTACATTAAAACATTTCCCACAATCCTCCAGCAGCAAAAGCTTGTTGGAGTTTTTTTACACAATGATAGGTGTGTGGAGGCCATCGTCTAAAGACACAATCTTCATAATATCCATATAAAGTGTCATAGTTATAAGCAGAATATATAATATCCCAACACCGCCTCACATTACTCATTATATTCCATCTGAAAGAAGAACAGCAAACTGGAGTCAAATATTCTGCATGTCGAGATTCACTTTTAAAAGATGACTTTAGACCAACAGATCAGAGGAGATAAGTGAAAACTATCCATACTGTCTGGATCTTTACCATAAAACCTTAGAAAATGAACCTTGAAAGTGGGCTTCTTTAGGTGTTGAGCAGATCCAGCTGGTGCTCTGCATAATGACTCATAACTTCTGAATCTTTGCAGGCTCCTGCAGATCTGTGCGTGTTAAAGCAGCCACTGACTCGCAGTTTGGTTTGCATCCTACGCCACATACCTGAATCCTTTCCTATCAAATAGAGGGCACTGCCCACATTTCACTTAACGGACAAAGACATCACACGCACAAATGCAAAAAAAAAAAAAAAAAAGGGTACAGTGGCAAAGGAAAGGCTGTTGCTTTTGTTTTCATCCTATATGTCAATTCAGATCAAACTTTTCTTAAAGTATTTCATTAAATTATTAAGACTTTTTGGCCATTTTATGGGTTTTCAGCTTCATTAACCACTAGCCAAGTTGGATTTGAGACCACAGATGTGCCAGGTGGCAGAAATGGATCCAAGCCCCCACAACATGATCCCAAACACTCCTCTCAGTAGTCTGGCTTTGCTGAGAGACTCTTTCAGCAGGACTTTTGTGTGACTAATGATGATACAAGAGCACTTGAGGCATGTTGGACACAGAGGGACACGGCCGAGCATCGCAGGAATTATTTTGGATTCTTATTATGCAACAGTGCACAACCTTCCACTTATCCTCAATCTTAATTCACGAGTCAAATTAAAGTAAGAGAACATCTGTTCTCTGTAGTTTTCTCACATCTAAAGACGACAAGATTCAACATTTACTTAATTTAATATTCATTTTATATGAAGACAAGATGAAGAAACAAAGACGAGTGGACGGTGTTAAGAAAGAGGAACTTAAATACGAACCAGCTCCACTGGAGGATTATTCCTTTTTTCCACATTTATACCTTATATACAAAACTAAAAGGTCCTTGGTCCACCAACAGCAGCATACTCCCAAACAATGACCTAACCTTTAAATGCACAAACAGAACGCGGAGCCTTACAAAAGTATTCACATCCCTCAAATAAAGTAACTGCCACTATGTTTTATTGATATAACTAAAGAAAGTGGTGAATATAGTGATCTGGCAGTAGACTGAAAGCTTTCACATCTAAAATCAGGGAATTGCAGCATACATTTGTATTTAGCCCCATTTAATCTGATACCTATAATCTGATACATATAATAAGTTTGACCCATTTTGCAAAGAACTCACAAATTAACTGACTTGGAAGGCCCCCCTGTAAATGCATACCACCCTTTTCAGATTTTTATTTAAAAGGAATTTCATTAACCATATATCATTTATTCCCTCTATAAGTCTGTGTTTACATTGTGTTGAAAATATGAAAAATGTATAAGTGCGAATACTTTTGCAAGGCACTGCTCCAAGAGCTATTTCACTCACTGAAGTATTTAGAAATAAAGTGGACAGAACACACAGGTTTTCTTCACAAAGACAGACTGTACAGAAAGTGACCAGAGAAAGAAACTTATAGGTCTAAGACATAAATTGATGCCATTTTTTTTTTTAAGTAAGGCTCTTTTAAGCCAAAATCAACATATTAACTTATAAACGTGATTATAAAACAGTAATAACCCCATGACACCAACACACTTGACATTAGAGAACCAGTCTGGAAAAAATAGAGGAACAAAAGCTGACAGGAGTGGTGTCAATCACATCCTGCACAGGAAGTGAAGCCAGTTGTAGAACTTCACTGTGCACTTGTTTGCAGACAAACAGGTGACAGGTTAGATATGAGTTTGCAGTGAGAGCGGGGCCACCTGGGAGTGTGCAGGGTGAGCCTCGGACAAGTAATCAAAGAGGAATGTTCTTTGTCTCTTGAAGTGTCATCAGTTACTAAAAAGATGCTAAATGAGGTCCAAGTGCAAACGATGACTTTACGGTTTTTTAAAAATAAACATTTCTTAGAGTAGTGTAAGCATGACTCTTGACAGAACTCAAGGGAACTATTTAAACACCCGATTAAACATTTTTAAATATATCCTTTTTTTTCCTGTCTCCTATAATTTATTTATCATTTGGTCGTCTACAACAACTGCGAGTTGCTATTAAAGGCGCACCGTGTTGATCCGCAGCGGCTGCACGTTCTTCCCGTTAGCATGGCTCTGGCCGGGGCTGAAATAAGGAAAGACCTTGGAGGTGAATTTCTCCCGGTATGTGTAGAGCCAGGACATGTCGTCCGCGTTGTAGAAGATCAGCAGGCCTTTGGGGTAATCCAGGAACACCCCCACCTTCTCCAGCTTGCTCTTGACATTAAGGCGGGTCCAGGGCTCAGTGCAGGCGCTGTACTGGTTGCCGTCGTGCATGACGATGCAATAGAAGCCACGACTCGGCTGGATCTGGATGCTGCCCTTGCAGCTCACGGTCTCGTTGGCGACGCCGATCATCCACTGCGTCTTCTCGGACACCATCACCTCCCAGTAATGGACGCCCGACATGAAGCCCTCGGCTCCCAGGACGGACACCTCCACATCGAAGCGCCTGATGGAGTCCTGCAGAGGCTGTGGGTGGAGGTTCCCATAGGCCACGATGGTGCAGTCGTCTGAGAGGATCAGTCTTTGGTGAGCCGTGATGGGGTCAAGGGTCAAGGCTGCAGGCACTGTTAAGTGAGAGGGATAAAAGAAGACTAGTTGTTCCAAGGTTTCATGTCAGATTTCAGAGGCAGAAAAAATGCTATGCTTGAAACTAGGTAACATGAATCATTATAAACCATTGTATAGTGGGTGAGATATGTTTAAATGCATTTCTCTAAAAGAAACAGAACCAGAATCTATTAAAAACCGACTTGAAATAAACATGAAGCTACTACTGTCAACCAGAGATAAAGTGAGCTATCTGTGAGTCAACTTGTAGATTACAAATTGTTATTCTAGATCAGCAATAAGAGCCTTTCTGCTGGCAACATGTCTCTTTCAGGGGATATAAAGACCATGTGTAGAGCCGGTGTAGATCCATTCAAAGCATGGATTCCTGTGCATCATCTACCTCTATTCAGCCCTTGTTCAGCCATTCAATATTTAATCGTTTACCTCGGCATCATTTGAGCTTTGTTCATTGCATAACTGCCCTATAGTTTTGATTTTCTCATCGCACTTATGGTATGTATATAATAAACTAAAGAGTGACTTTTTGCACTCTTAATACTCAGAACACAGTGTGGAGAGGCAGCTTTAAGTTGTTATGCCAACTAATCTCAAATAAACCCACAGAAAACTGTTGAAACACCGAACCATGAGTTGCTTTAAATTGAGATTAAAAACATATTTATTGTTGCCTTTGTACTATTTAATCTTTAGTTACATTTTCAGTCCAAGTTTTCTTTACATTTTAAGTAATAGTCTTATTTTAGTTATTCATTTTTATTCTCTTTATTTGTATGTTCTCTATGCTACCACAATGTACTTACCGTAATTTTCGGACAATTAGCAGCACCTGGATATAAGCCTCAGAAGCTAAATTGCATGATTTGTACATATACAAGCCGCACCGGACTGTAAGCCGCAGGTTTTTTATGTTTAATGTCCGTCTTTCTTGCTGTCGTTCTGTCTCGTACCACTTGCAGTAGAAGTCTGCATCCGGAGGACCTTCGCATTCCCCCGCGCACGGCTACCGTACTTGCGTGTTGAAGCAAATGTGATGTCAACATGGTGGATGGTAAAATCCATAGATTTAGGTATTACCCTAGTGGCCGTTAGCTGTAAAAGTCCATAGATAAGCCGCATTGTTATATAAGCGGCAAGGTCGAAAAATGGGGAAAAAGTTGCGGCTTATAGTCCGAAAATTACGGTAACATGTCAAGGTCTTTAAATGTGGAAAATAAATAAAAGTGCTTTTCCTTCTTAAAAGAATAAAGGAGAGAAGATCTGATAGCAGATGCCATCAAACTAATGTTTAACATAAAGCTACTATACTGTAGTCTAGCTAAACCCTGGTCAGTACTGGGATGCTTTCAGACTTTCAATGTTTCAAATTACTTTAAGTCACAAGGGTTAAGTATTTAATTGTGATGCCTTCTGGGAACACTGGGCTCAGAAAGTTTTTAAATATCAGGGTATGATGCTGGTATGTTCGGTCTCCAAGCTGCAACTTTCCTCACTTCCTCCTCTTCACTGGATAAATCTCCATAAAACCCTTCAACCTAAATTTAAGTTGAAGACATTCCTAAACTGAAATGATTAATTGATTATTGGTAAATTAATCTGAAAAAATAACCTTCTTACAGCAGTAATTAAGACAAGGCCCTACAAATATTATATTTCTAAACATATAATGCAATGAATTTAAGAGCAAATTGTATATAAAACGTTCTGCCTTTTATAATAATTTCAAATGCACAACAAAAGTTATTTCTCTATATTCCAAATGTTTATTTTGTCCTTCACCAGCTTTGGTCATTGTTCCCCTCTGTTCTGGGGTCAGCTAACGTATGCTAATAATGGAATTTAAAATAAATTGTATTGCCTATCAGCATTGCCCTTATGACTTGGATAAAAGCACCCATGTTATCTGAAGTAGAGCCAATGCGATGTTAACAGAATCATGTGAGTTGATTGGTAAATTTACTAAAGATGCTAAGAAAATTTACTAAATGGGTGTGTCCACAGTGCAAAATGTTCCCGCCGATTACAGCTGCACACTTGAGACACAAAATATTATTTCACAGCAGCTGCATTCATATGACCAATTGCACCATGTATCTGTCCTCATAGGCTTCAAAGTAAAGCGTCCTACAGGGCATCTCAGTTTCAGCAAAATCAACCTACGCCAGGAATGAAAGCAACAGAAAGACAGTAATTATAGGCTAGGGAGTAGCAGTTTCAGTTCACAGCGCTGTAGGACGTTCAAGTCTCTGTAGTTCTGTTTTATCAAGGGTTTGCTCCCAGTGGAGCTTCATGCAAGCATGGCTTCCCTGATGTAAGACACGGTAGAGCACTACCAGGGGCGTAATGATAGCTTAAAGAGATGGTACAGATCAAAATTACCTTCTAAAACAAATTAAAGCTTTCACACAAACGAAGAGCAGAACAGTCCAGTTTAGAGAAAACCAGTCTGCATTTAAAGAAACTGAAACCACTTTTACTTCAAAGATCCTTTCTGCAGATCTTCTAAGATGTATACACAATAATGAGAACAGATCTAATGCTTCTTTCTTTTCCCCTGTTGAACATTTTTATTTAAGGGAAACAACCAAAATTTAGGAAAACGACACAGGTTAGGGCCCAGTTAGGACAGATGGCTCATCCTGTGGGAAGAGCTGCGTGATATCAAGACACTAAGATCAGGTATACCCATTTTCATTTTTCAAATCTGTCTCATCTTTGCTTCCTATGTAGCGTCACCTTAAGCATTCTGGGTAACGTTATTAAGCTTAATGCAAGCACCTGCTGCTGCGAGACTATGTCCAATTATCACCACTTGGACAGCGTTTCCTCTGCTAATATCCAAGCAGGGCGGGCGATGTTGTTGCTGGGTGAGGCCGGACCAGTTTAATGGCATTTGGTGAACTTATGCCAATAAATTTATTAACCTCTTCAAGTAATGCTGGATCTCAAACCAGTGCTGGATTCTGTGCCTATGTGGTCGGTAATACACGTTCAACACTCTTGGTCAACATTGTTCGCTTCATATTCTGTTACTGGCAATCAGGCTAGGCCACGTGCGCTCACACTCCAGTGAACACGGCCACGCCTGCCAGCTGGTAGAGAGTGGTTCAATGCAGGGACTGGGTGGTCTGAGGGAGCTGTCCTGAACAGCTGCTCTGTTTAGAGCCCAATTGGCCGATTTACCCAATAACACGCAGTAGAGTTGCCACATCGATGCGCTACCCCAGGTGTTTCAGATAACTTCAAACCGGATCAATTCAATATCATGCATATTAACGGGAGATACAAATTCCCCTTACAGCGTAAAAAAAATAAATAAAAGAAAGATACAAAACAAGTTGCATAAATTGGCAAAGATTCTGTTAAGTAAGGAGAAAATATCAGTGGAGCACAGAGGGTTTGTGAAGGACTCAGCAGCATGCAAAATTAACCTTTTTTAGAGTGTTCATGAAAGGAACACTACTTACATCCCCCTATCATCCCATCCTAAAGTGGGCCTTCTTCATCTTTATGTTATGTATGTATGTATATATAAAATTTATAACAACAGATGTCAGTTTTCTTTTCTACCTTTTGGTGTTTTCGAATCATAAAAAAAAGGTTTTGTTGAAACTAAAACTATTGAAATTAATCTCTTAAGTGAAGTTAAGAGAACAGTCTATGTTTTTTCAGTAGCCAAAAACTAATTTTAATTAGTGTTGTTAGTGGCTAAATGAGACAGGAAGCCATTTGAGCTCTCCTGACTGGTCAGACAGAAAACTAATTCAGGGCAGAACTCACTGAGAAAATATCACCATACCAAAACCTATGAACGCTTGAGGTTGCAGGCATTCAGCACTATGAATATGTTGGATTTGCTCTCTCATATGAATCAGAAGCAGATAAGATGAAGCTTGTACCACTGTTCTGCATTCACACTGCCAAGGATAGATGGAGGCGAGTTTGGTGGCAAAGTGCCAGAGGGGAGGACAGCTCATTCAACTGTCAATGACAACTCAAGTGTTTGTTACAATCAACTCATTAAAGATTCACACACCGAGAGCCTGTTTGGGTCAAATTAAGAAACGCAGAGCAGATTCAAATTGTCCTGCTCAACATAAGAGGGGTTTAAAACCAGCTAATGGTTTGACAGTTGTTCCCTCTTCCCTATCGGTGAATTTCAGGGCTGAGGGATAATGGGAGGAATGTCTTTGTTGCCTCTCTGGCAACTGCTGCTGCTGATGGATCACAACCAATTGTTCCATTTAGCAGCAAGTCAAGTGAGGCCAAGAAACTGCCTGGCCTCCCTGCAGGCTGAGAAAGGGAAGAAATGATTAGGAGAGAGGAAAAAGTATGAAACCCCCGTGTGTTTGCTGAATTATCTGTGATAAGAGAGAGTTGACTGTAAGAAGTCCTGCTCTATTCAGGACATTCAAAAGCATCATCTCTAGCTCTCACCTGAGAAAGTGCCCAAGGATGTGCTTATGATTTTATCAAAGCACTTAGATCTTTAAGGAAATAGAGCAGAGGCCTGGCACATCTTGACCTTACAGTTTTATTTCACCCTGCTTTGCAAATTTATTTAAAGCCTTTCCTGCTGCAGCTCTCCATGTAGCTTTTCAATTAGAAAAGGGTCTGGGCTCAGGGTGAGGCATTCGGAGCGCTGATCCCCCGCTGAAGCCCTTCAATTTTTTATTTGAATGTGCGCTTTGGCTCGTTGTTGAGCGGAAAGAGAAAGTCTGTCTTAATCTGGAGCTTTTGAACATACAAGCTTCAAAATACAGCCCCAAATTACATGGCATCCATTATCGTATTACCATCTTATCAACATCTGCACAACGAAGTTATTATAGAAGCACAACCTGGAAAAATACAACGCAGTTGTATTCGGCCAAAGCAATGTTAACAAGTTATTACTTTAGATGAGATATATATTTTTGTAAAACGTAGTTTTGCTTAAAAGTTTAAGTTTTTGCCGGAAGTAGAGCAAAAGAGGCCAAAAGATGCTTCCATATACTTTTCTATTTTTACTTATGCAACAGAAGAATCTTAGCCCTCCTCCTCTACAGTTTTCTCTTCACATCATCCTTGGGGGACATGTTCTCTACCTGCTAAAAAAACCCAACAGATCCTGCTTCTATAGCAGGAGGAGATCCCTTTTAAACCGCCAACAGGTATTGACCTTCAGCCGGTCGATCCAGAGTGGAGCCGACTCTTCAGTTACAAAGAAATGTGTATTAGTATCTTACCTGAATTTTATCAATATTCAATGTTATTTTGTGTAGATATGCAAACATCAGAAACGTTTTAATATCTAATTTTTTTCCTAACTCAAAAAGACTAACAAAATAAGTCTTTTTTTAGTAGCAGAGCGATACTTCCCTCTTGCTTGCTCAGGGATGATTAAATCCAACAGTCTGCTCATAATATATTAACAAGCAGCATGTTGTTTGTTTAATCTCAAAGCTTATCCAACAAATTAGGACTGCCACATGCAGGCGACCTTTATAAAGCTGCTTTAGTTTAAAAACAAACAGCTGAATAATTAACTCACAGCTTTATTCTCTTGTGTTTCTGAGGAGCAAAGTTAATATCTCTTCTTGTTTAATCTCATATTTATTGAAGGACATGTTGGGAATGGTATCGATCAGTCAGGCTAACTAAGCAGCAAACATTGCTTATGTAGACAACCTTCATGTCTGTCAGTAATGCTCTCTTACCTGGTGAAATGTCCTGGAAGAGTGATTTCCATATAGTGTACTGTAGGGGCCCCATGTACTTGGAAGTTGGGAAGTCCTCATATGTCAGATTGGTCTCATGTATCTTCCCTTTAACCCTGAAAAACAGATCAATAACGGTCTGAATTCATGTCGTCATCTGTAATTCAATACAGACTCTTGTTATGCAGGCTTTCAAAGCTTGAACAAATTATTTTCATTTATATTTTTCAAATACATAAAGGATAGTAAGCTACTTTACATGCAGAGACAATAAAACAAGGATAACTGTTCTGCATTAAGCTCAAACTAGGTTTAGAGTCGTCTTATTGAGCAATAGAGATAAAAATTCTCTAATCTCAGAAAACTGAAGCAAAAACGAAGCCATGACCTCAGTAACTCCAAAATATATTACAAGAAGCAGGAAAACTCAATCTGAATTGATCAGTGCGTTCAAACAATATCAGAATAGGCTGTTTATAAACAGAGCATGAGGCATATTCTTAAACCTCCACTTTTCTGTGTTAAAGTTAAACTTCAAAAGGCTTAAATGTTTATATAAAATTTTGTTCTATTATATTTCCATTTAAAATATATACAAATTTTCCAAACCTCATATTAGACATTTTAGAACAGTTTAGAAATTGAGAAGAGTGATGCATGCATTCCTTAAAACTTATGTTAAACTTAAACTTTAAAAATTAATGGCACTAAAACACTAAAACACTAAAAATTATGGCAATGGGTTCCAAACAAAGAGAGATTCGGAAACTCCGTCCAGGTGTTAGAAATTAAATTAAAATTATCTAAAATTATCTAAAGGTTTTTTATATTACAACAAGTCTGCATCTAAACATTGAACTGAAAAACAAGGGTAGTCGTCAAAAATTATTAGAAAAATGCATCACTCTTTATGTTTTAGAAATTGGAATATAACAAGGTCAGGAAATTCAAACCAAACTGTGATTTTTTTGCAGAACATTTTTTTTTGTGATTTCTTTTCCAGAACATGAGTGTTTAAAATGAATGAAAATATTTGCAGACTTTGAATGTCATTTTCTTAAGTATTTGCATGTTGACCAGTTTCTTCTTCTATGAGCAAATCATTTTCCCAGTTAATGAAAAGCTGAGTTCTCACCATGTTATTGCTCTGTGTTATAAGGAGCCCATCAAAAACCGTTTCTGCTCTCAGCTGGCACACACAGACCTCAGTCCATCAGAGTTGCTCGGTTGGAGCTCAGACAAAACCATGAGAAGCATATTTGCAGTCATCATTTTCTCCCTCAGCAGTGCAGATAAGAAACACTGATGGAGGTGCTGCCCCGTACCTGCTCGTTCTGTGCTTTCCTAACAGTGATTAGGAGCATAAATCACCAGATTTATTAGACATCCCTATTATCCCTACTACTAATAATAATTAATCACCTGATCACCATAATCTGGTGAATTTCAAAATAAAGGGCCTATCTTTAAAATGACTGAATTGATGTTTTCATTTTGTATCAATAAACATTTAACTGATGAGGATCAATGCATTGTTAAACTCCTAACTATAATCATCCTATAGAATCCTCAACTGAAGGCTAAAAATTATTAACTTGTGTGTCTATGTGTAACTTACTTGTACGTTAAAAAGTTACGATCTCAAATAGGGAAAAAAAAAAAAAATAATAAAATAATAATTAGTGCTCTAATAAAAATACTACTAGCTCTTATGTTTTTCAGTTTTGTTAGTTATTTTGAATATAATAATAATAATAATATAAGAAAACATAAAAATACCACAATTTCCCCATTGTTGGGCAATAAAGGGATTTTCTATTCTATTCTATGAATAGAATTCTATGCTTTTTAACAAGGCAGAATACTGCGGTTGAATTAAAACTGTCCAAAAACTCCTCCCTTGAATTGTATTTCATGATTTATATTTTACACGCCTTAGTCATCCGATATAAAATTGTTAATATGCTTTTTTATGCTTCTGTATAAATAAGACGTTACCATGGGATTACAGAAACACCGCTGGTTTGTGTTCTAGACTAAAGCCATTCTTTCACCTCTTCACCAAAGTTATCCTGGTTTTAATAAATGATGTTCAATATTGTAAGTCTAATTTTAGAACATTTTATTCAAACACTATAAATTTTAATAAAACCTTTAATGTCCTGCTCTTTAATCTTGATTATTTAACTTTTTTTCTGCCTTAAGATATTAAAGTGAGTAAGTCCTCATCATCCACCTCCTGATTAGACATTACAGCTGGTCTAATTCAGCCCAAAAGAACCATCTGTTCAGGGATTAGCTGCTGCTGTTGCTCAAATCTCTACTTTCTCTGACTCGTCAGCAGCCTTTTCACAATGCTGAACTCTTTCTGAAGGAATTATTTAAATTAATTCACTAATGTTCTCAGAAATGTAAATGCTTCAGCATGTCGATTTCTGAGTCTGAGAAGGTGCTGGTCACACCCATACACAAACACACCTCTCTGATGTGATGGACACCCCCTCCAGGAAGTCATGGCGGCCCGTCTCACTGAGGCGCTCCTGCAGGATCTGGATGCCCTCCTTGACGTCGCGCAGCTGCTGGCTGTAGCACTGGATCTTGTGCTCGATGTCAGTCAGCTTACGGGCCGTGTCCATCTCCAGCTCCTCCAGCATGCTCTTCTGGCGCTCTCTGAGGAAACGGTGAAGCCGCTCAAATGCGTCACCGATTGTTGCACGAAGACTTTTGGCTGAAGACTGACAAAAAAAGAGGCAAAAGATTTCCTGGTTAGAAAAACTAAATGTTATGAGGCTAAAAGATAAATGCTTCAATACAGACTTCCCCAAAGTAGTTTGCCTCTTTGTTGAGAATTTAGGTCATAATGGATGAACAGGGATGAATAAATCAAGAGTGTTAATAGGACTCTAATCTCTGCTAATATTACATAAACAGCAATTAATTGATTCAGCACTTAGATGTATTGATTTTAAGAGGCTCTTGGGAGCATTAGTGCACAGAAGCGTCTAACCTTAAAATAAGGCGTATCAGACAATACAGGAGTAGAGGAGGAGTGTAAAACAAGAACCATTACTGAGGCCAAGCTGGGTGGGAGGACCAGTGGGGAGACTAAGCAGCTAAATCCATAAAAAAAATCACAGTAGTTTAAACCAAACCAGAAGAAGACAAACAGAATAAGAAGAGGATTCATAGCTTTAGAAGACAACGATGAGATATTCATCAAAAGAAATTATCTTAGTACTGAGAATTAAAAAGCCCAAAAATAGGCCTTCAAAAAAATTTGCGTATATATATATATACAGGCATATCTCAATAAATTGCAATAGAATAGAAATAAAGTATTTTATTATTTATTATACAGATTACATTATGGTGAGTTTTTCCATTAAGTCTTAACCAAATATCACAAACTGTTTCATCCTTTAAACATCAGAGCTGTTACTGCTGGGCAGTGCAGACACTAACTTCCTGTGGGGCTTTGTTGTAATGCTGAGTCAAAGCGAGCCAAAGATCTCCTACCTAGTTAAAGTTTAACTGATGGGGTGGAGGGATGCAGCTGAGCAGCCATCAATCACACAGACATGTTTGCTGTTCGGGTCCACTGGGCCCAGTGGGACCTAGTGGGTGTCTGCAGCCATTATGGTGGGGTTCATTCCGAAGGGATTTTGAGTGGGGCGTTCAGTGTACATGCGATGTCTATGATGGACGTGGGTCAAGGTGCGTCGCTCTTGAAGCGTTTTAGTGTTTAGGCATTGAGCGCATTCCAAGAGGCAGATGCTGGAGTGGGAAACCAATCAGCATAGCTGATCCAGTAGCTATTGCATTGCATCAAAGCCTTGATTTCTCCTCTTGCACAGATGAAATCTATAAAATTTCATAGATATCATAAATAGTTTTTGGACATATTTAGAGCACTTTAATCATTTTTTAATAAGCTTCTCCTGAGGCTGATCAAGCATCACAAAATAGGAAAATGCAATAGCGACTTTCCTTTGCTGAAGAGCTGCAGCAGTAGAGCTGTCACTCGGGATTTCAACTACAGTCCGCCTATATGCTGGGGTCTGCTGCTCAGAACAACAGAATAAAGTAGGATCACAACTGTGATGAACTGACTCCACGGATCATTTTTTTGAGGGATGTACTTTCTTGCATTAAAAACATGTCAAAACTTATTTTTTTCCCCAATCCTTGAAGTAAATTAAGCCTAGCCCCTATCTTGATTGCATCTGCCATTGTACAGATGAGAAGGGCAAAGTAAAACAAGAAGGAAAAACCTCCAGATGCGAGTCAGAGGTGTCGGTGCACTGTGTTCGAGGCACGTCAAGAGCATCAAAAAAGTCTGACTTTAATGTGTACAAGCGTCCAAGTTTAGGTGTTGGATGCCTTTTTGACGCCCAAAGTCTGCTCGGTGTGAACAAACTTTGAGGCGTCATGCTGCACATTTTCCTTGGAGGCACGACATCAAGTGATGCTGAGGGTATATCGAATCTGCAGCCCTTTACAGCACAACCTTTAAGGTTAAAATTAAAGAAACCATTTGAGCTAAAAAATCATCAAATAAAGAGAAGCAGGGCTTTATATAAAATATATGCATCACTGTCGGTCTGAGAATGACATAAGTAAAATGGCATCATCTCAGCTCTCTGAAGAAAATACAAAGCAGAAGGCAGGGGTCATTTCATGATCAGCTTCATAGATGCATCAAAGATCAATGCCGTCAGTGTGGCCCATTTCCAGGAACAGCACTCTCTTCAAATGGATGTGAAACTAATGAGATCAGCTCATTTCTAGTGAGCTAGAAGACCTATATCAGGCAGCTGGAGAAAGTCAATAAAACGGCCATCACCTGCAAGAGTCTGCAAAGGCTGGACAAGTAAGTGAGCCTTGCAGAAACATCATGCAGAGGCTTTAAACAAAAACAAATGGGAAGAATAAAAAATCTTCTCGGCCTTCAGTCAAACCAACATTTAGTGTCGTAACAGAGGAGAAAGAGAAGAGTGTCTCTTTATAGGAGGGTGTGGGTCATTGAAAGGGTCAGTCCAACGTTTACGGCTCAATAATATATTTTCACCTCCTCTTTGATTCATGATTTCAATTTGATCAGCCTAGTTTTTTTATTTTTTTGTAGAATGAGCTCAGGGTTCAACTCTCACAGTGGGACATTTAATGTATCCCATCAGACAGAAACTGATGAATCTTACTTTTTATTGCTGTAGCTGTGAGTTTTAGAGGCTGTGAACACCGAGCTAATAATTAGCTGTTGGGACCATCTGAGGAACCTGCAGCAAAAATTACACATCACCTTTCCTTTTAGTGCATACCGTAAAGCTACTGGCCCCTAAATAAAATAAAAAATAAACCTGTAATACAGAATCTGTCAGTGTCTAAATGAAATTCTTCAGTGTTGGTAGAACCAGAGTCCTTAATGGTACACTTCAGTGGAGCGGGCTGCTAAACTGAAGGCTGTGACCACTATGTTGAAATTTAACATGGCATAAGCCAGATTGATTATCTACACAGAATCTATCTGGAAAGGCTCCTGTGGAAAGTGTTTACAAAAGGGAGGGACATTCACTACAGTTCTTCGAGCTGATTGGGTAAATCACCAAGTGGAAACTGCCTCCCACATCAGCTTTTAGCCAATCATAGCAGCATTAACAGTGGTGACACATCACATTCCAGATTTGTTTTACAACTAGCGGAGGTAACTGATAAACATACGAAATCCGGTAGGGAGGAACGGGCAAACATCTTTGCCAACCAAAAAGCCACAAATCAAATTGTTTCTTTTGGCTTGTTTTTCAAAAAAATAAATAATATAGAGGTTATTCCAGATAAAAGACTGAATGGCGCATTCCACTGTTATATCCACAGGTGCAGCCATGTTTGTTTTGCTTTAGGCTTCTGGTTGACATCATATGCTGCACTGCATTTCATTGGTTCAAAACATATCAGTACTTGAGGCTAACACATCTATTGGTACCTGGCAAAATGTGTTTTCAGGAGTTTGCAATTTCACAAATCTCACAGCAATTAATCTTGCTTCCAAGCTGCCTGTAAGCTGAATTTAGTTGACTGCACACATTTTTTATGAGCTAATCAGCACTTTGACTGACATCTAGGCATCTTTTCCCGGGAATCTGTCCAGGGCACTTAAGGCCCACGGCTGATTGTCAAAAAATACTCTGAAATTAGGCCAGAAGGCTGCAGTGGAAACTGTTTTTAGACTAGCTTACCTCTTTATTTTCATGTATACGTGAGAAACATGTCTGGTTGAGGACTCCCCCCAGCCCTTCAGACTCATTGACTCAGACTCACCTTGAGTGTGCTGTCATGCAGATAAACACATGCACTTCCACTGGGATAAGAGACAGAGAGCAACCTTTTAAGACAGGGCTCCATGTTCTGAAGAATGCCAGAGGTTTTTTTTCCCCTAACCAATAAAATGCAGCATCATCGGCGTGCCGGTGCATAGGCCAATCAGGTCTGATGACCCATGTCAATATGACAACTTTCATTTTAATGGTTTATAGAAACATTGCCTTCCAATATGGAGAAAGGATCCAAAGAAATAGGAGTGAGCTTAAATAGAGGCAAAAAAGAAGACACAGGTGCAACAGAGAGTATAAATAAATTTGATGTGCTCTATCAGCCTAAATTTTTTGGGGTACATTTTTTTATTTAAAAATCTTATGAACTTGAATTTATTCTGCTGTGCAAAGTAATGTGGTCTTGCACTGACTCTCCTTCTGAAGCAGCAGATGGAGTTACTCTTTGAAGTTCCTTTGCATTTGCTGACCACTTGAGGCGACCAAGCATGAAGCCTGCCTGTGTAACCAACTCTAAAGTTTTATAAAACAAATAAAGCCTATTCACATTCACGCTCGTGCTGCTGAATGTTTGTGCTTTAGTGTTCCAGATCCATCAATGCCTAATGAAGCCAGAGTCAATAAGTACCCATGACCGTGATGTGATTTAAATCAGGATTGATTAATAAACACCAGCTGTTAGCAGCTCTCTAACCAAAGTAAAAACATATTTTAAGTCTGAATAGCAGCACTGATGTACCGATCAGGCGGCTGATGATAGAAATTGCCCAATTGCGAGCACTGGCCAGTGAGTCATCAAACCCGAAAGCTCACACTTTATTTGGTCTCAAAAAACAGGCTGTTATAACAAAGTTCAGATAAAGGTTAGGAACAGAGAAATAACAATTGGTTTTGTGGTTGATTTCAGACCAAGATTTCCAAAACCAGACGGATGAAAAAAAGAAAAAAAAAAGAAAGAAAAAAAACAGCAGAACTCCTTGGCTGTACTCTGCTCAGTACTCCTGCTATCTGATTCAAGGCTCCAACTCTCTCACAGCCTGAATGAACAGACATGTTTCACCAGGTTGTAGTAAATAGTTTATTTCTAAAAAGTTCTTACACCTTAATTTTACTGATCAAGGATCCTTAAAACAGCTAACCTTTACCCAGAAACAGCATCGACAGCCGGGCATACACTGTGCGATATTTTCAATTGTTGTACTCAGCGACAGCTCAAACTGTACGACGAAACAGCAGGGTTTAAAAGTTCACAGCTAACAATGTATGTTCACACACTGTGCGGCCCAACGCTCTGATGCAACCTAACGATGGCCGACTGAATTTTTGTTTTCGATTTTCTCCCGACCTTACGATTCCTGATCGGGAGGTGGTTGTGAAAGGCTAATGGCCCCTTGTTACCCTACACTACACCACGCACGAACAGGCTGAAAGTCGGGCCGATCGAAAAATTCTTTCAAGCCCAAAAAGGGCAAAAAAATCGTACAGTGTATCCCCTGCATAACAGACTGATTTCTCAGTGTGCTCTGGTTATGGTCATGTGCTCAAAATGAGCTTAAACCTTCCAATTTCTGATTGATTTGATTTTTTATTGATTTGTACCTACATTATGTGACCTGGAGCAGAACTTTTGCTTTTAAGGTCAATATTCTTTTTTCTTCTTTGGCAGCGAGATTACCAATGTATTACAGGTTTAAGTGAGAAAACTGAAAGCAGCAGGTCAGACCTCATACAAAAGCAACAGTTGGTATCAGTGGCTAAAAGGCAGATCTTACATAATATCCATTTCTATATCATTTACCAATGATTAAAACAGCAGTAGAGTTTTAACCTTAGATTGAGAAAGAATAAGAGAAAAGTAACTTGGAGCCGCTGGGTTTACGCATAGTGATATTGATTATCTGCTGGTCCTGTAGGTTTTCTGCTACAGGTCCAGCGCTGTATAAAAAATGATTAGATTACCTTGGTCTCTGTAAGCTGTCTCTGTAGGAGATGGAGGGCCTCGGTGTGTCCCTTCTCACTGTCCTGCAGCGAAGCCAGCTGGTCCTTCATCTCTCTCTGCAGCACAAACAACAAACCAATAATCAGAACAGAAATGTGTCTCAACAACTAAACTCAGATCGAAACTCAAACATCTTATTTTCTTTCCTGTTAATCTTAAAAACAAACTTTTACTTTCAGTCTCTGATTTGTATATGTAGAGGTTTTTTAGAGGTTTAAAATAACAGCTGGAAGACCCTTCCTGGCGACTCCAAATCCTGCTGTATTAAGATAAAAATCATATTAGTTGTGTAAAAGCTCAGTTTGATCGGATATGAGGCATCAGAGATTTTATCTTCAGCACCAAAACAAACAACCCAGACAGAGAGCGATATATGAGAGAGAATATGAAATCTCTGAAGATTTCAGGCAGCATGATAGAAAACTGGGTCTCATCCCAAATCAGACAGCAGCAGGTAAAACCTTCCCTGAACATCACCTCCAGGTGAGCCTGAGCCAGGAAACAGATGCAGAGATTAAAGGAATGAGTAACCAGGAGGTGAAATCAATGCATGCTTATAGACAAGGCATGCATGCCCTGTCTTTATTAAACAATTTCTAAAGTGAGAGATCTTGCTGACAAAGAAAGATAAGGGAACCCTCAAAATCCCATAAGATGAAAATCCATTTTGCAGAAAAGAAATCATAAAAGCTGCTCTGTTATCAAATATATTTAGTGGAATTATAGATAAAATATGAAATTAAATCCTTAGTTGTTAAGCCCAAAAAAGATAAATGAATTAAACTGAACATTTTTTAAACTGCAGAGAATAAATGATTGCCCTCACCAAGTTTGTCTTTAGCAATAAAGGTTTATTTCCTGGATATCGTGATGATATCAAAGCCCAAGGAGTGCCTCTCCTTTCTCATTCTTAAAGGAAGATGGTTTTAAAAGACAAATGGTAAAATGAAGTGAGTTTATATTTACTTTTATAGCTGTACAGGACAATCATGGCATTTCACACTGAAGTGTTCTTATTGTGATTTGTTCTGCTAATGGAAGACCGATATATATAAAATGTTAGGTCAGGTTCCTGTAACAGACAGAAACGGCAAAGCTATGATTGGTGTATAAAGGAAGGAGCGTGACTCCCCATGTTAATGACTGGAGTGTAGCAGGCTCAGTGAGCTCATTGCTGCACATTTGTCTGCAGCAGGTCTTTAGCTGCTCCCACAGTGAGGCAGAGCAATGCTGACAGACTGGCAATAAACATTTTCCTTCACTCTTTTTCAGCAGGCTGGCTGGTCAGGAAAAGGTAACTTTAACCACTGCCCACAAACACAAAACAGACATATTAACAGGAACTTAGCAGAATGTTATTCAACCCACATGCCTCCCAATTTTAAATGCAAAATATGTTCTTGCAAATGAACAGCTCCTAACAACTTTAAATGGGAACACGGCATCTGGATTTAAAGAGGCAAAGAAGGCTTTTATAAAGAGTAAGAATCAACCTAATTGGTGCCATTATCCCCTTTAAAGTCCTACACCTGCTCTATAGCATGGAATTGCATAATCCTATAATCTCCCTAGAAGCAAAATGCACCCTTCATATGGAGATTTTACTGGAATGAGATTTCTAGCACAGGGAAAAAGCAACAGCTTTAGTAAGATACACTAAAAGAAACAGTCCTGAAAATGCACACAGATATGGGATGTATGTCCATCCATCAGTGATCTAAAAACGTAAAACACAGGTAATTTAAAGCCGGTGCGAGTAAACATTAACAGCAGAGTATGTGTGTCTGTTATGTGTGATGAAGCCTCTCCCTCCTGTCCATCCAATCTGACCAACAAGAGTCTGACATGACATTTCCCTAGGACGTCAAGCTGCAGGAAATGGGGGTCACGTCTAAAGGATTATAAATCTAAAACTCATTTCATCCTGCTGTCATTTCCTTCCTCCTCTCAGCCTTCTCTCTACCGAAGAGCCAGCTGCTGCTAGGTAGATATACATAGAAAACACGAATAAGATAACAGATCCCCCCCCAGGTTCCTTAATAAAAAACTGCACAAGACTTAGAAACCTGTATATAGCTGTTAGAGCTCTGAGATTTATTATATCCAGCAGCTTTACTGCCAGCCTCCACCAAGAGCTAAATAAAAGTACATGTGCCACAGCCTTAATATACTGTATATCTCATTCGACACACAACACAGAGCGATTCTGTCCTCTAATTAATGTGGGACCTTTTATATCTGTTCACTGCTAGGTAAACATAAAATATCCAGTAGAATTGATAGGTTTCATAAAGTCAATTTGAGACATTAGTCAAAAGGTCATACATCTGTAGCAGCTATAGAGGGAAATAGGAGATCTACAAATAACAGCAGAGAAAACTCATCTTCCTTGACACTATACATCATTATTCATATTCTTAATGTATTTTAATAAAAGAAGAAAATAAACTGTTTTTTTATCAAATGATAGTTTTACTGGGGCTGCTCAGTGGAGCAGTGGGTAGCACTGCTGCCTTGCAGCCAGAAGATTCTGGGCTCGATTCCCGAGCATGTTCTCCTTGAGCATGTGTGGGTTATCTCTGGGTACTCCCGGCTTCCAAAGACATGACTGTTAGGTTAATTGGCTTCTCTAAATTCTCCTTAGGTTTGAGTGAGTGCATGAATGGTTGTTGTCTCTGCGATGGATTAGTGACCTGTCCAGGGTGTACCCCGCCTCTCGCCCACAGACAGCTGGAGATAGGTACCAGCACCCCTCGGGACCCCACTCGGGACAAGCGTGTCAGATAATGGATGGATGGATGGATAGTTTTACTGAGAAAGTTCCATATATGCTTTAATTGCAGTTTTCCGTTTTCTACAGGCAACATTCAAACTAGTCCTAAGGCCTGTTTTACAACCTGGGACTCAAATTATCAACTATAATTTGGTCTAACCTGAGGTTGGAAACTGAGTTTTTGGTGTCACAACAGCTGATGTGAGTTAGTTTAATCAACTCTGAGTAGGTCCACACAGAGTTCAGCATGTGCGTAACAAGTATGAAGAGACATTATCGGTCGAGCTCTGATTAGACTAATACCACGACAACAGGCAACAGGAAATCTCTATTTCGCACCACTGGAACTAGAGATTTTAATGTTGATTGAGGAAAAAAATATAGGAGAACATGCTTAAAACCCAGAGAAACAGCGCTAAAGCTGCAAAAGAAAGGGAGATGCCGAAGGAGAAGATTGCTGCTTGAGTTAAGGCATAAATTTGCAGTCTGTTATGGCAGGATGTTGTTACATCTATTAAAATCACATTTCTAATCAGAACTGTAATAATAGATTTTCTAAATTACATTTTTGCTAGCAGAATCTAAATTTCAGAGAGTGAAAAAATATATTTTACTAGTAAGATTTTGTTTTATATACCAGTTCTGACATTTATCAGCTTGACTGAATATGTATTTATATCTGAAATACATTTCTTCCTAATCAAAAAAATATAAATTGTGACAAAAAAACGGGGATAACAATATCTGAATGCTTATTTTAGATACAAAGAATGTTATTTTGTTTCAAATGTTCATTCTGAAAAACATGCATTTCAGACATCAAAAATACACATTTAGACAAACTAATAAATAAGAAAACATCCTGCTACAGCTAATTTTAATCACATTATGAGGGAAAATTTGTTTACTGCTTGAATGGAAGTGGATCGATGTATTTTATTGAGGTGAAAATAACTGAGGTAACTCACGGGGGTGAGTTGCACCTGTCAGCAGGTGAAGGTGAAGTATAAAAAACTTTCAAACACGAAGGACCTGTGCATGATCCTCATTTGCATCTTGTCTTCCATTATAAAGTAAACGCTAAGTGGCTGTTTGACTCTGCAGTTGTTTTCTATAATGCCGTTATGCACACATCAAAGTTTTCTCATTTCATGTTCTATTAAATACCTGTTGAAGAAGTCTATGTAATGCTGTTAATGTGAGGTCAGATAAGGTCGTGGATGTATTCGATGGATTGTGAGATGAAATGGTAGAGCTCATAAAGATAACTCTCTGAATATAAAAGGACATCTATATAAGGCCTGAGAACTGTTTCCCTATAAATATTTAATTCTGCGAATTAATGCCGGCCATTCGTTAATTGGATTCTGGTCAAAAGAACATGCTATATTTCTGTTTTGTAACACCTAACGTCTCCAACAGACCTAATGAATGATTTTCTTTTTATTGATTGCACAAAACTATGACAAAAACTTTCGTGACTAAATCTGGAAATACAACAACATCGTTGCTTTAAGGATGCGGAGACTGACGACACTTAGTTTATTGAGGAAATCCTGCTCTGGGCCCAGTTATCTCTGTGCAGAATGTTACTATGGTAACAAAAATAGAGGTTGGGGAAACCTGGTTTATAAAATGGGCCTTGGATTTAAGTGAGCTCAAGTGAAACTTTTATTTTGTTAATTACAGAGACTGCATGAAAAAGGGAAGTAATATCTGACCAGTGCCATTTTCAAGACAGTAATACCCTTTTAAAATCAAAGGACAATGGGCACAATCAAGGAATGCTGGATACTGATACCATACCAGGGATGGATACTACCTGCATCAAACTTTGAAGCAAGACCAAAAAAGACCTTATCAGGTGACACTAGTGTCAACAAAGAGCAGGGATAGATACTTTTTACTTTCTGGTCAATAACAGGTTTTAAAATGTTGCCTGGTCGAGTAGGTGTTCATTTTAGCTGCAGGTTAAAGATGGTAGGATTAGAAACACCAGCTTGGATCATTCTAAATTTAAAGTAAGCAATCTTCGAAAATCAGGGGCAGGGCTCGATGTTAACCATTGCCCGATTGCCCGGGGCAAGTACTTTTTATTGTCGGGAGAGTACAAATTTCATTGCATTTGCCCGCCGGGCAAGTGCAGTGATCGCAAAAAAATAATCACTCAAAATGACTTTAAAATCACCAACATTAGCTGAAAACCACCCAGCTAGCGCCATTTTTGTTGTTTTGTACACATTCTCGCGTGATTTGAAAAAGCCACAAGATTTTCAGCCAGAT